AAAAAAAACGCCACCCTTGACTTTGGCCAGATTTTTACTCAAACTAAATCTCCCCAATTGTCATCAAGGATCACAAAATAAATAAATAAATAAGACAGGCAATCAGCCTTTTGATGTGATAAGAACACATATTCAATGGGTTGCCATGAATCTATGTTCCAAGTTTTGATGAATTTTTTTGAGTGTTTCCAGCAGAGTCAAACGATTGAGAACTCAATGAGAATACACACAATCACTCCACACAACATAATCGAATCACAATACCACATCAGAATATAAATAAGAATCACAGATTTCTGCAAAAATCAGGAAAAGTGAAGGAGAATATATTTCCCTTGAAGAGTTCAAGACAGAATGACTATAAATTGGAATTGATTAGAGCTTTTATTGGATTTTTGGAATTTTCTGGCCAGGTGAACTGACCATAAAATTCCAGAAAATACTTGCATGTTCCCTGGCCTCTGATTGGCCAAAAAAAAGAAAGACCAAATAATTGTGTTCTCCGCAATACCAATGTTAAATTTTCTAAAAAAAAATCCCAAAACATTACACTTACATGGTTAAAAATTATAACTTTGTTATCAACAATAATGAAAACAAAAAGTACTTTGTATTCTTTGAACTTAACCCAATTATATTTTATTGATAGAAAACAGTTTAAATCTGGAAGTGAACCCTTGCTCTCAAAACATCACCATATAAAATTTTGCATTCTGCAGTTTTTTTAAAACAAAATTATAAGTAAAAGTTTTTGAAAAGTCCCAAAAGGTATATTTAGTAACATTATGATGGAAGCACAATGAAGAAATTTTGATTTTTTATCTGGCCTTCCATATTTTTAGCACATGTATGTGATGTATCTGTAGCAGGGTTGGAGAACTCTGGCATGAGTGACTGGAAAATTTCCACTCATCATAGAGTAAATTGAAAATCGTCTCTGCAAATCAGAGAAATTTCAAAAAACCACACAATATTTACATATACAGCAGTATGTATAAATTTGTTAGCTCAATTTCAGAATGTGTACCTTTCTTTCAAATGAACACTATGCTGGAGGAAATTTTCCTGAACTGCATGTATTTGATAAGATGCAGTAATACGCCAATTCAGAATTTAATGAAGTAACACTGTACAGTATTTCCAATAATTCTGATGCGTAATTTTTTCCATATAAATTTCAAGACAAATGACATTTTTGAATATTTAGATCAAAGGGAGATTCAACACATAAGGAAATTGTTATTTGATTTATTATTTTAATAGCTTCTTCTTTTCATATTTCATCAATCTGATCAATTTTAAAAAATAATTAAAAATACCACAGTAGAGAAACATACTGTACCATGCACTATACATATCATACACAACATGTATATATATATATATATATATATATATGTATATAAATATACTGTACTTACTCCCATAGGCAAAAACCAAAATGTGTCTGGTGTCGGCTGCAAGAATCGAACCATCCACACTTCTGTGCGATGGGGAGGGAAAGGTTGTTTGGATGTGATGGTAACATTCCTCGAACCTTGCTGTGTGTGCTGAAAAGTGAAAAATAAAGCTTTCTGATCAATTTCAAAATTATAATTATTGAGCATTATTGATGAAATATGAAAAGAGGAAGCTATTGAAAGAAATAGCAATTTCCTCAAGTGTTAAATCTCCCTTTGATCTGAAATGTCATTTGTCTTGAAATTTATATGGAAAAAAATGCGCATCAGAATTAATAGAAATACTGTACAGTGTTACTTCATTAAATTCTGAATTGGTGTCTTACTGTACCTTATCAAATACATGCAGTTCAGGAACATTTCCTCCAGCATAGTGTTTATTTGAAAGAAAGGTACACATTCTGAAATTGAGCTAACAAATGTATATATACTGCTGTATATGTAAATATTATGTGGTTTCTGAAATTTCTCTGATTTGCAAAGACGATTTTCAATTTTCTCTATGATGAGTAGAAATTTTCCAGTCACTCTCCAACCCTGCTACAGGTACATCATGCACCTGCTAAAAATTTGGAACGCCAGCTAAAAAATTGAAATTTCTTCATTGTGCTTCAATCATGATGTTTCTGAATAATATACCTTGTGGAATTTTTCAAAAACTTTTACTGTACTTATAATTTTGTTAAAAAAACTGAAGAATGCATAATTTTATATGGTGATGTTTTGAGAGCAAGGGTTCACTTCCAGTTTTAAACTGTTTTCTATCAATAAAATATAATTGGGTTAAGTTCAAAGAATACAAAGTACTTTTTGTTTTCATTATTGTTGATAACAAAGTTATAATTTTTTNGAGAGCAAGGGTTCACTTCCAGATTTAAACTGTTTTCTATCAATAAAATATAATTGGGTTAAGTTCAAAGAATACAAAGTACTTTTTGTTTTCATTATTGTTGATAACAAAGTTATAATTTTTAAAAATTTTAAAGCTTTGCAAGATGTAGGAAATTTCAGCATACATTCAAAATAACACAGCATTTCCAAATTCTTGCATTTGGCTTTAAAATTGTCAACACTTTGTGACATGGGTGGAGAACTCTGGCTGTAATAACTGGAAAGTTTTCATTTATATCATCCAGAATATATAAAATTTTTATAAAAACCTGTTGTGGAAAAAATACCAAAACCTTAAATATGGAGTGCAAAAAGATTATATGATTCAGCCCATGTAATTGTAATGTTTTGGGATTTTTTTAGAAAATTTAACATTGGTATTGCGGAGAACACAATTATTTGGTCTTTCTTTTTTTTTGGCCAATCAGAGGCCAGGGAACATGCAAGTATTTTCTGGAATTTTATGGTCAGTTCACCTGGCCAGAAAATTCCAAAAAAAAACAATAAAAGCTCTAATTAATTCAAATGGGGAGAGGGTAGGGAGGGAGTATATATAACGGGGTTTGACCGATAGTGAGAACATCAGTGTAATCGGCATTCTCACTATATATACACTGTGTATATATATATAGTGTCTTGTTCATTGGTGGCAGGAATAATATACCTGGGTGACACAAGAGAGCCCTTATAACACGCGGTGTTGTACACTGCACGTCCTGAATCCCGGTCGAATAGTTACCCCTCCACCACAGCCATGCAGTCGTCCTCTTCATCTGCAGTCACTCTGTGTTGAGCAATAAATCTTCGTCGACGAGCTGAAGAATCATGATGGTGTCGTCCAGAATAAGCAAGCACATCAGGACCAACAATGCTTGAGTCTGAATCATCAGCTGCACCATGTATGGACACTTATTGTGGTCATTGCTGAAGTGCTCATGCTGTGCGGATCATCTGCAAATAATATACTGTATGATTATTATAGAAGCATATACACAGTCAACCCCCATCTATAATGGACCGAAGGAATACAGCAGGAGGAGGTCTGCTTTTGCTCAACAGACCTCCTCTGGAGTCAGTTCATCCTCCCACCTAATTCTCCATGAGGTTTCATCATAATAAATAAGCTATTAAATACATTATTTGTCAACTCAAAACTCCCTATATAATAAGTGGAAATACCCACTCTGTTGAATATTGGTTCAATTCCCTGCATGTTTGAATTCCCTTAAATGCAAAGTATTAAATACCTCCCCATAATTAACACTACCGAAGGCTTCATTCCTCAACCTCAAACCTCCAAAATTCAATTTTCTGATGGATTTCATTATTTTGACACATGCAGCTTGGAAGAGAAAAGCATTAAAAATGCAACTTGATGTGTTTTGAAAGGAAGACTAATAATTGGACCCTTCCCTCCAGCAGCAAGTTCAGCATCCTACCAACTCACTCAAGTCAAACAAAGTTCAACTTCACAATTAAAATGTACTGTACATGTTATTATTATTATATGAATTAAAATTCTCAAGAATCAAATAACTCACCCATTGTCAGGACCAGGACGGCAAGAATCAATAAAACGATGGTCTTCCACAAACGCCACATCATCATCAAGCTGCAAAAATGAATAAAGTATCGAAATTGGCAAAGAGCATGTTAAACGGCACTGAAGAGTTGCCAAAGTTAAGGGGGCTATGCAAATTAAATACAAATAAAATACTTGGACTCGATGATATGTTCAAAAAATCTTCGGAATATACGAACCAACCCTGTTTCGTACATTTCCAAAGTCATCATTATCATAGGACAAAAATTATTCTATATTGTCTCTTAGATCAATAAACAGGTAAATGTTTTTAAATTGACGTTCATACTCGCGGGATAAGGAATTGATGCAAGTTGAAGAGTATATTTTACACTGCTGAGACAGACCCTCATCTGATAAAATCCTACTCATCCTCGCAACAACAAAAAATTGAAACACTGACGAACGATATAGTTTCCAACCACTGTTTTCTACTGCGGCAGTCGATGTGTTGATGGAATCGAAAACCTCGGAAAAGTGTCGCGACCAAAGTGACGATCCCCACGTTTTGAGTCGACTCAAATTCCTTTCCTTCTCTTCTTTTTTTTCCGTCGCACGCCGACGAAAGTTGGAAAGAAGCAGAACAGGAAAGACACCTTACTGCTGTTACTGGAAAGCAGCAGGAAAATACTGAACGAATTTCAGGCCGTGACGCAGTTTTATTGAGGCAGAAGTTCGAAAACATCAAAAGGCATTACAATTTGCCTGTGCGGCCGTCTTCGTCCCTCCAAGGAATTTCAAGATTTTTCCCCCTCTCTGTTTTCAGGAAGGTTGCAGCTTAATCAAATCACGCAAAAATACTGCATAAAGAAGTCTACGGGACCATACCCAATTTCAAAAGACAGGAATCCCCAAGAATGGATTAAAGGGTGTAATTAAAGTTTGACATGTGATAGTGATAGGTGATACAATTTTGAGAAATTATTTCGGTTGTGAGGAATTAATTAATTTACCCTCGATTTTTGAATTCAATTGTGGCGCCAGACAGCATCCTGTTCAGCACAACATTCCATTTTTTCGTTTGTTTCATTGGGCAAGGACCAGTTAAAGCCTTTTCCTCTGATTAGTGATATTCATAAATCCGATTTTCACACTGACCCTTTTTTTTGCCTGGGGTGCAGGGTGAGGATGGTGGATCGGCAAGAGACAATAAAATATTCTTTTCACATTCTAGTATCCACTAATTCACAATACTGCATGCAGATAATGAACGGCAGAATACTACCAAATTTTCACTGCGTTCTAAATCAACGAGACAAATGTAGGAAATTAGCGCATTGTTCCTGAATTCGATCTCATACTGAAAACTTTATCAACAGAGCATTTTTGAAATGCTTTCAGGGGTTTCAAGTAAATAAGTTTAGAAGTGTTGATTTTTATGACCTAAATCTAAGCTGGGCCTTCCACTGCTGTAGCCTCTTCGACAAAAATTCCAGAACTTCACAGCCACCAAACATCTCCAGTCTGAATAACCGAAACGCAACGTTCTTCTTTTTTTCAGCCACAGCTGATTCATATCCTAATTGCCAGGAATCTGATTCAAGCGTTAATCAAACCTCATAATATTCATACATTGGCGGGTTCCTCAAAGGTGATGTCATTGCGAGATTCTCGGGTGTCTAAATACTGTACTTAGAAAGCGTTATTATTGTTGCTGATCAATGCCATTAAGAAATGACAACCCGGAGTAAGCAAAACTCAGCGATTTGGCCATGTATACGGACGAAAATTCAACACACAACGCTCGAAAGATCACAACAATAATGTATTGAGGTCAAAGTTTGAAAAGCACTTGAACTCATTCGCCAAATTCTTCGCGTGCTTGGGCTGAAAGATCTGCTCTTGTAATCCCAAAACCTCTCTCGCGGTCTTCTCCATAACGTGGCCAGTATACACAGCAGCACCTTGGCACCCTTTTTCGCGATGTAGGAAATTGCTTCAGCGACCCGGGTCAGGCATTCGTCACTTAAGAGCAGGGGATCGGCAACAACTATATCGAAAGATGCTCCAAACACGCTCGGCAATGCCAGAAGATCTCGGTAGTCATAGAAATGGAAATTCGGGAAAGCACTATAAAACGTTCATCAAATTCGAACAACACAGCGTTGGAGTGACACATCAGTGACACAAGCTCTCGAAATAATGTTGGACACGACAGACAGGCAATTTTGCCTGAGTCGCTAGACAGTTGAACAACGGCTTTGGCCAATATAAATGCTGCTGTTTTGTCCGAGTACCAGAACTGGTTCAATTGCCAATCTTCTTCAAAATGCAACGGTCCATCAGCAGCAGGTTTGCCAAGATTCAGGAGCTCTCGTTCCAGAACAGCGTTGCACAGTGTGGTGGCGGTTTCTTCCGACAAGGAACACGCGTCAGTCAACATCGCATTATTTTCTTGAAGCACGCGGACACAAATACACGACTTCAACGCAGTTTCCAAAAATCCAAGGGAAACATAATTCTGCAAAAGATTTCATCTATCAGGTAGGACATGTTTCAGAAATCAGTAAGAGTTGTATCCAAGGGAAATTATTTCGACCAACTTCTGATCACCAATTCGTCGTCAGGACGAAACACACAGCCAATACAGTCGGGAAATAATGAGACACTTAGTAAGGGATCCCTACCAGGACCCTTAGAGCGACATCTAGCAGTATCCTGATCAACCGTTTACATCACCCACCCGATTGTTACCCAAGAGAAGATGGTTGTCACGATTGGAGGAGATGCGACAAAGTCCCAAGAAATATTCCTCACTTCAGTTCTGACTTCTGACCTAAAGAGATATATTCTTATGAGTGATTGTGATTGTTTTGGTGTTGTCGTGTTGTCTCGAATAACGGAGTTGGACTTCGATAAATCCTCTGATTTCTGCTGCGCTGGACAAAGACTCTTTTATTCAACCTTACTGCTTTCATGTCAAGACCCAGAAACTTTACTTCGAAATCGGGGAAGATGAAATGTTTCACCTGATGGTACAGCCTTTCCTGAAGGTCGAGGATTGATAACCTGCTGATTTTCGGGGGGAGACTAAAAAGAAAAAAGTACATGACACACGGCGGAACTGAATTAAAAAGATATTAGACTTGTATACTGATGGGTGTTATAGAGTGTAACCTTTTTCCGTAACACTTCTTGAAATAGTCCAGACAATGTACATGTATTGTTTCACAAAATCTCGTATATTGGCGCCCTCTGTAAAGTACCCCTCTAAGCATTATCAGTGCGAATTTCGCTGGGTGCTAGGGATAGTTTCAAATTTGAATCCGCGGAGTCTGTATGCTCTATGAATTCAGTGAATTAGACAGCTAGAGCTAACGATTGATTCACTCTCACAGGGTTCTTACATTTGGATTTTGTGTCGAGTTTTCTCGCAAACATTTGCTTGACCGAATGAACTGATGTCTTGACATCACAATACGGGGCCCGTTCTCCCCGGCGTGATGGATGAGGATGATAATTACATAGATCCCACTGCCATTTGGTCAAGATATGGAGTGGAATCCGACCGGAGTCATCGTGTTCGTAAGTTTGTGCAACACACTTCCGTCCACCGTTCGATTACATCTCTTTCTATGCGGGTTTTAGAATTGCGGCCATACTTCGAGGACCAATCGACATTTATCGAAGATCCCGATGTTGAAGATGATTTTGAAGAACCCTTTCCTTCCAGCGATGAAGATGAAACGGAAGAGCTGCCGATCCACACGGAAAGCGTCGTGGAACTCACGAGGTTGTGCTACTCGCTCAATGATCAGCTTAAGCAGTTGTGCTTTACACTTCAAGAAATATTGCCTTCTTATTCATCTCATCTCACCAAACTGGCTGCGGAAAGAGCCATGATCTCTGCCGAGAATGGATCAAAAAGAATCGATGTTTGGTCTACGAGTAATGATGAGCCGCACGATGTGGACGCTTGCGATGAATATTTCCAAATGCCTACGATGTACTTCAGCTTCCCGGATGAGTCGTGTGGTTATCCAAATTTTCCTCATCAAGGGAATACGTTTGCCTCTACATTGATGGACCAGATGCGAGGATGTGAGTCGAATTTTATTCCTGAATCACGAGTTTCGGGTACTCCATGGTTTGAATGCCCATGAATGCGCGGGGGATTTTATGCTTCCCCCCTTCTTCCAGGGCAAGTTACTCAACAACGAACTCTGATTGAATGCATCCGAAGCGAAGCCCTGGACGAGGAATGCAACCGTGCCGAACTGAACGCTCAATTTCCACGGCTCCTGGAAATATCTGATCAAGCTTTCGACAAAGAGCTGTCAAAGATCAGGGAACGAGTAGCTAGAGCCGTAGAACTTCCTTTGGTGGATCTTGTCGGACCCCGTACTCGGCAATTCGATTGGATGAAGATAGTGAATTCGGAGCAGTTTCAGGTGATTCATGAACGTCTGATCCAATCGTATCGTCCAGAAGCTGCGGAGCTCATGTGGAGAAATGCGCTCCATCCGAGTATTAATCGAAGTCGCTGGACCTTCAAGGAAGACTTGCTTTTGAGGAAACTTGTCACTGAAATGGGGCTGTATTCGTGGGACGAAGTTGCAAAGGTGAGCGCTGTACAGAAAAATTTGTTCTCAGGTATTTTTACGGTAGAATCGTATTACAATGAAGTCTTCGAAAATTGAAAGAATTGCTTTACTGTATGGTGATGGACATTTCGTTGTATCGAGTCTTGATGTAAAAAGTGGCTCTGTTGCTGGAACTTGTAATATATCTCGGTTTTTTCGCGAGAATCCTTCAGACCTGGCTTTGCTGAACTAGGTCTCTGTTAGTCACTGGGTCGAATTTCCGTGCATGTGATCGTGAAATTCTTCGGAGGTGGAATACATGATTCTGAATGAGCTTCACGATGTGCCTCGTCCTCAGAAAATGGAAACCCGTTCGGCCTACAGTTGCGCCTGTCGTTTCCACACGTGTCACAACGCGAGCATTCGTGAGAACGTCTTCACACCGTCGGAAGACCAACAACTCGTCTCTGCAGTTCGTCAATGGCAATCCCCACGAAACGGGCTCATCAATTGGGAACGAGTCAAAGACTCTTTCGACACCGCTTACACCAGTGTTGACATCAAGAGCCGGTTTTTTGAGCTAAATTCCCCGCAATTCGATTCCTCGCCGTGTGACGAGAAAACTTTGGCGTCTTTGATGGCATTCTTCACACTATTCCCGTTGAGTTACGAAAATTGGGCTGAGGTGACGCGACTGCGACATCCCAAGAAGATGAGGACAGAGTTTTCTATGTTTCTTGGCGAGTACAGGAAAAGGCGGGTCGGGTCTCAGAAGAAGCCCTGGAGGAAGTCATATGACGTGGAGTTGCTGAACCATGTTATTAAAAGCGGCGAGGCTTTGAAGGGGTGTTTGTTGAGGGCAAATTGCCCGAGGCAAGTGATGGCTGAGCGGCTGGAGTTGTTGAAGAAGGTGATCATTGACGAAGGTGGCACGGTGGGTTGATTTTTGTCTTCATAACTGTGCTCTTGCATGAAATTTTGATTGGGAAAATCATAATTTATTGCAATACTGTATGTACTCAAGTAACTTGTTGACCTTTTTTTCTTGAATTGAGAGGAAGAAAGGGGGTTTTGGTGTTCATTATATGCGATTCTGATGGGAAATTTTTGAACAATTTTTGACAGAAAAACGAATTGGAATGGAAATGATTGAAAATGAGTTTGATTCACAATGCATTCAGGTCTAAATTCAAATTTGGATATTCTTATTTTTTAAATATTGCAGTATTAGATTTGTTCACCTTCAGAGAAATTTATGTCTCCATGCAAGGGTCATCCAGGCATAATTTTGAACCAATTTTAACAGTAATTGTAGTGAAATGGAAATACAGTGAGACCCCCACATGTGGACATGGTTGGTGCACCAAGAGTGTCCCTAAGTCAAGTCTTGTTTTCCTTATACAATTTTTAATTGGTGTTTTATGGAAGAAATATTCTTCAGAATGCCATGAAAAAAATTGTTTGCCACTTGAATTTGATTTAGTGAATATATTTTCAACTCAATAATAATATTTGTAGCATTGTATCTCTGTACTATACATTGAAATGTTGGCATCTGCAAAAATGACATTCAAGTCACAAAAAATGATTGAAGTCCTTCTATGCAACAGTTGATTTTTTTAATTAGCTGAATGGATGGGAGAAATGACAAAGAATTTTTCTTGCATAAATCTTGGGGTTGGAAAAACTGTTCAGTGATTGAAAATTAGTTGGATTCAGGATCATTTTATGTCTAAATTCAAAGTTGGATATTCTTATTTTTTAAATTTTGCAGTTTTAGAGTCCTTCACCCAGGCCTTGAATCAATTGTTGACCGTATTTGATTTTCCTTTCAAAGCTGGATGACGAACGTCTGCAGGGGTCTTATTACAATACTCGAGAAGTGGCTGATAGGGACGGCAGACTCTCCAAGGCATTCTCCATGATGACAGAGTGCTTGAGGCAGGCCTGGGGGGACTGGGGCCAGGCGGAGAAACAGTCCGAGCTGCAAACTGATCCCTACGAACCATCTGTCAAGTACAAGATTTACAAACACTGCTTGGAGCTACTGGGTGTTCCGAATAAACCGAGACTGGGAAGCACGTGTGTGGTTTTCAATCGGTCGAATCATTGTCCACTCGAAGACCGAAGTATATCTCAGGTGAGGAATCTCCCCCAAAAAAAGCTCATGTGGAGTAAATGTATATTTTATTTTAGCATTCAGTGCCTTGGTGTGGATTTTTTTTTCATATGCAGTTATTTTCTGCATCGTAAATTTATACACTTTTTTGGAGCACTTCTTCCAAATCTTCTTTGTGCCAAGCAGAATGAGTGGAAGAAATGTGCCCCAATGTGTGAACAGAAAAACTGAAGAAACCTACAATAACTGGGCAGTATCTAAAAATATGGACACGTTGCCAAAATTAATACTGTACAGTATGAAAATGGAAAAATTTTAGTTTTCCAAATATCGATGCCTCTTGAACAAATTGAGCTATTTCTTGAAACAAAAAATGCCGATTATATCCTATTCCGAATTCAATGTGATTCATAATGAAAAAGAAGCTTATTTTTTTAATCTTTTCAGGGGTTTTTCATCAGCTGTATACAGATTAGCAAGATGTGTGCTTTTTTTTTCCTGGACGATTTTTCACTCGAAAAGAGCATGTTTTCTTGTGTCAATTATTGTCCACATTTGAAAGTCAAGAGAAAAAAATGTGTAAATCAATTCTTGGCGAACTTTTTAAATTATTGTTTTCAAAAAGTAAGAAGTGAATAAAATTGTTCTCGTTGAAGTGTACGAAAGAAATGTGATCCAGGATGGGAATCCTGTTCGAGATGTGTCTGCATTTTGGGGACGTTATTAACTGTTTATTCGCTTCTGTCCATTATTCTTTTTTCAAATCAGTTGCCGAAAACATTCATCAATGACCGCATCTTGGAAGGCGTGGGATCTCAATTGTGGACGCGAGCCGTGAGCATTCTGGCCCTGTACAACGACCTGAGCACCCGACGGAGAAAGTTCGAGTTTGACCGCGTGACCGCGCGACACCGTACGTGTTTTATGAAGCGATCCCACGCCGAAGATTTCTCGCAGTTGGTGTCGATTGCGACGTGTTTGTTGCGTGTCGACGGTGTCGCGTGTCCGTCGGCTCTGGGTGACCTCGTTCGTCGAGTGACGGCCGAAAACTTTTGGGAGTACGCTGGGACGGATGTGACGCCTTGGAACGTCCACACCGATCGGGGTATCGCATTTGCGGTGAGACAAATCGGGCGCATTTTTTTTTTTGGGTGCTCGACCAATTATTACTTTTCACGAGTTCATCTATTCATGTTCTACGAATTGGATTCTTTGAGTAACGAGGGCATGCCGCGACATCTACGGAAGAAAATTTGACTACCGGAATAGAATACTGTACAAGAGACATCAATTCTTGAAAATAATTACTGGTGGACTATCTGTGCAACGAATTTTATTTTCTGGTTCCTTGAATTTCGTTGTACCGAGTGTCCACCTGTAAGTATTTCCAAGAATTGATGTCTTGGGATGTTTGCGATTTTTCCAATTCTTGAAAATAATGAAGGATTTATATTTCTCTTGTAAAAATTAAATTCGTTGTGGAGAACCCGTTTCACGTGATGAGAGAACCCTATGGAGCCCACGAAGAAAACTCGTTGTTCAGAGAACATCGTTGTAGAGAGAGTCCACGTGCATTTTGGAAGAATGTCTCAAACTTTAGAACTAAGGAGGTTCTTTCATGAAGATTGCGAGATTCGTTTTTTTGTTTTTTTTTCGTTTCGGAATGATGTTGGTTTGTTGGAAAAGTAGAGATTGACGTCGGTTCATCTTGGGACAATCAAATTCAGTATTTCGTGCAAGGAATGACATCTACAAAAAAATTCAGTAACATTCTCAACAGGTTACTCATCTCGATCGCCTTATTAAGTTTTTCCAGGGGATTTTGTTGGCGTGAAGAGTTGACGATTGTGTATTTTATTCGAACTGTCGTAATTTTTGCTGCTGTGAGGAATGGTTAATCACTGGATCAATATGCTAAAACAGCACCGGCATTCCGTAGTTGAATGAGTCACTAACTTTTTTGGGATTTCATTTTCAGCCTGTGAAAGTGAAGACGAATGTTGTCCTGCTTTCGAGACTGAAGAAGGAGATGTTGGGGAAGATGAGCGATTTCGTGTTCAGCAAATTGTTCGGCGCCAGAATCCTCGACACTGACATTTTCGACAAAATCGAGTATCCATTCTTCCCACCCTGTATGGCGACTATGACTGGCTACGAGGTAAAAAAACAAAGCTTTCTGCCTAAATTGTGAAATTCAATCGTGCAAAGAATCTAGGTGTGTTTTTATTCTCCCTGAAGCTAAACAACGCATAACCAATTTTCTGGGGGAAGGAAAGAGCAGGATTCGAAAGGTGTTCTGTGTAAAATGTACGCTTGAATGGATCGAGTAGCTAAGAAAAGAAAAAAGGCTAGGGTTCGACTTATATTTTATATCTTCTTAGATTCTCCATTAAAGTGCGTGATCGTTTCTGGGGTATATAATTTGTTTTGCTGAACCCTCGTCTTCATTCATCGAAAAAGCGTTTCATTTTCGAAAATATCCGCAGATCATGATGATGTCGTTCCAGCTGAAGAAGTTATCCCGGCAAATGACTTCTTTAGTGTCGTTCAAGCGGAAGTACGCGGATTTGTTGCCATTTGCGGAAAAGATGGGGGCGTGTCGACCTCGAAATGCGAAATGCCTCGAAATGCGACCTCGAAATCGAAATGCCCGTCAGGAGAAGGAAAACGTTGCTTCCGAAGAGGACACGACCGAAACTCTTTCTCCTGTGCCACGGATCATCCGATCTGACGATCCTGTATGTTAATGATTTTGAAGTCCTATATCAAATTTGTATTATTTATTAAACATTTGTCAGTATGTAGGTGACAAAAACCTCGTCTGCAAAGATGTTATCTGCATGATGAATTTCCTCTTCGACCCAGACGGTTCTTTCCCATGTTATTCGAGTTCTCTTCAACGAAATTCTCTCTATAACGATTTTTTTTCTTATGCATTGAATCTCGTTGTGGAGTCCACCTGTATTTTGTGGGTGTGACAAGTCCTATTAACGCATAATTAACCCAATGCCAATGGTGTAAATACTGGAAATTTTCCTGATTTGTGTACAGTAATCATCATGTGACAATATATTCACGAATGTGATACCATACACTGTATGTCGAAAACTGAATTAATGTGCCATAATAATGTACCGTACATGAAATAGTGTGCCGAAAAAAAAAAACCTGTTGAATAGACTCCAAGAGGGAAGAGTGAACTCTTTCAAAAACGTCCTCAAAGAGAAGTATGGGGAAGTATTTTGCAATGACTCGAGCAAATATCTTTGTAAATTTAGGTTGAAATTAGTCAAATCACTCAATTTTGAAGGAAATTCCCGGCTTCTGCAATTTATTGTACTCTACTGTACATACGGAATATTTTTCAGTGACTCGGTCTACGCTATGATCAGAAAATGGACTTCACACTGGAACGAATTGAGATGATTGAATAAAGGCATTATTTTCTGTTGAATTTTGATCATTATTATTCTCGCTCGATCAGGTGTTTGTCCGGAAGCCAGTGGCGACGTATTCTCGGAAACGCAAGGCACCGGAGGCAGATTCGGAAGCCGTCGTAGCGAAACTCGCGTCCATTTCCGACGAGAGACCATCAGCTGACCGGAATGTGTCCGGTCTTGGTGACGCGTCGTTTCGAGTTCCGGACGTTGGAACCTTGTCCCCGGACGATGCGGGACGGTGGCTGGAAGGCGTCGTGACTGCTTTGTTTGCTGCTCCTTGTGTATTGGCCTCGAGCAAGTGCGTGTTACTGTTGTTTTTTTTAAAGTGATTTGATGTTAATTTTTTTTTTTCTTCGAGGAGCGCAATGTTTGGGAGGATGGAGCCAATAGGATTTACTACGACAGAGGATTCGAAACGAGCTGCGAAAAACTATAATCGATTCCTGGCCAGGAGCGAGAAACTGGGCATGGAAATTGTCTCCGAGTGCAACGCGTCTAATGATGATGATGATGATGATTAACGTTGATCCCTGAATCTACGTCACACGTGGATTTTTATTTTTAAACCAAGTGAATTTTTTTCAACTGTTTTTTTTTTATTATTAGTATTATTTTTTTTTATTCTTCTTCATGGAGAGAGTGAAATATTGGAAGTCATTCTGCTGTGGCGTCTCTGGGAACTCTTCATGATTTCCTGGGTTTTTTCGTCTAACTTCCGCAGGTCTCGTGTTGGGCTTTGTCTCATTCCTTTGTTTTTCTCGCGAAATATCCTGTGTATCGTGTGGGAAAGTCTGACAGAATGGGTGAGTTGAAGTCGCATTTTTTCGTTCTGTTCTTCTGATACAGTGCTGAGAACGAAAGTTCCATCATCTTTTGCGGGGCGTGTTATAGATCTTTTTTTTAAGGCTAGGAAATACTGTATGAAAAAAAAAATTTTTATTAGGAAAACGAGTATAATTTCATGATCGACGGACTTGTTCCAATTGGAAGTCCGAGTAAAGAAAGGTTTTATTGGAAACCAGTAAAGGATGTTCTACTTTCCCGACAGAAAGCTAAAGTAAAATCTCGTTACAACGAAGCCATTTCAACCTGGACTCCCTCTACAAAAATCTTGTCTACGACGATTTTCTCTGTATAACGATATCTTCATAGTGGTCCCTTGAGTTTCAGTGTAGAGAGATTCAGCCTGTATTCAAAATGACTAAGTAATATTGAAATTCCTGGAAGTTGCGGCTGTTCTGTGAGAAAAGGACAATTTGTAGATTTTCCTTTTTTTATTCATTTGATGTAAAAGTCTATTCGTAAAAAAAATTCAATTTCGAGTTGATTGTTGATGTGTTGATTGTAGGTAAGCCCAGAGGTCTGAGGACAGCCCGCAAGCACGTGGACCACCGCAGAGTGCAAGTGTGGGCAGACAAGGACCACAAGAAGTCCAATTTGGGAACCAGATGGAAGGCCAATCCTTTCCAGGGTGCCTCTCATGCCAAGGGTATTGTGCTGGAAAAAGTGTGAGGTGCGCGTGTTATAAGCAGGTATGAAGTTTTCAAAAAATTTTAGAACTTCAGGTGTGCCTCTGTACTTGATTACAGTGAGATGCAATGTAATACAGTAGTCTCATTTTCCCTTAGACTTACATTATACAGTTTAATTTTCAATTGGTGTTTTATGGACAAAGTACTCACCATAATTCCATGAGTATAAAAATTGTCTCCCCATTTAAACTGATTCAATCACTATGTTTCAACACAATATGGACATTTGCGGAATTGAATACTGATACCGCTGTACATGCAGTACATAGAAATGTGTGCATTCTCTGTAAAAAGAACATTCAAGTGAACAAGAGAGAAGGAAGTCCCTTTAAGCTGGAGGTAATTTTGTAAAATTAGCCAAATGGATGGTGAATGGGTGAGAGAAATGCCCAAGAACTTTTCTTACATAACTTTTAGGGTTGGAAATATCTGTTTCTTCTAATTTGGCCTGAAATGTATTTGCAATTTTATCACAAAATGTCCATATGTTGAGTCAGTGTCCTCATGTTGGGCCTTTTTTATTAATTTTTTTATGGGTAAATAAGTTTCCCTTTGTCAAATTGTCCACAGGTCAAGGTGTCCGCATGTGGGGCTCTCACTGTATGTGAAGCAATTTTGTTGTGTGATTCACTTTTCCCTCAATGAGAATTCAGTGTGCTAATTGCGATTCTTTGGGCATGCGAGGCATTTTTAGAAATTTTTAAAATCTGTCTTGAAGGAAAATATTGCGACGCGTTTTATTTTTGCATGTGTGATCTTCCACCTATTTTTATTCTCAATATTTTTTTTTTTGACAGAGGTGTGTAAGCCAAACAGCCGAACTCCGCCATTCGTAAGTGCGTGAGGGTCCAGTTGAGAAAGAATGGCAAGAAGATCACTGCCTTTGTGCCCCGAGATGGTTGCCTCAAACTACATTGAAGAAAATGACGAAGTGCTCATTGCCGGGTTCGGTCGGAAGGGTCACGCCGTCGGTGACATCCCTGGTCAGGGTCTTTTCCTCTCTTTCTTTGTTGATATTTTTTGAGGAGGAATTGCGTGTTTCGGACGAACTTTTTCTCTTGGTCCAACCCTGTAAATATAATGAAGTGCGAAACAAGGGCTGATGCTTATTTTTTGATCATCGTTCAACTTAAAAAAAAAAAAAAACTCAACGAAGTCCTGTTGCGGAAAATGCCACTATATTTGTAACACGCTTAGCTTTTTTTTCTTGAGATAGAAAAGGGGAAAAAAAAAAGATGCGCGTCATATGCAGATATAAAATAGCAGAAATGCAATGTCAACAATTCAGGTCCGCGTCCGTCACGCTTGATTCTAATAAGAAATTTTGACCAATTTTGGGAAATGATTTTTTTCAATGGAAAAAAAAATTGGAAATTATTCCAGTTTGAAGAAAAATCTGAATTGTGTTTTGTTTTACAGTATTTCCTAAATTTGGCTACTATTCTGTCAGTGAAAATGGGGACCGCGTCTTACTCCGAGGATAAGTTTTTATCCATATTTTAAAATGATGATATTAAGTTGAAGTCTTACACGTGGTACTTGAGTAAATATGGTGAATTTTCAATAAGCTTCTCATTCACTCTCATCTTAGGTATTAGCTTAATTAGTTCATCAAGGTGTTCGAAATGTTTAGAGTATGTCGACTCTAGCGGAAATTTTTTTCAGTGTCCATATTTTGATTCGTTTTCTGAGTGATGATGTAGACTTTTTGAGTTTGAAGTTTGCCCAAGTCGATTTGTCCCCATTTTGAGAGTCCATTTCTCTTCTTCAACGGAGCCCCGAGACATGGACGTGATTACTTCTTGAATTGCTCTGATATTGTTGGAGTGTCTGCATGTTGAATCACATTTCCCCATGAACTTCCATGGGGGCATTTCTAATTTATTCTCATGATTGATTGGCAAAAAATTGGAAATTATCAAAAAATGTTTGTGTTTCGCCAGGTGTACGATTCAAGGTGGTGAAAGTGGCCAATGTGTCCCTGCTGGCCTTGTACAAGGAGAAGAAGGAGCGATCTCGGTCCTGAAAAAGGATGTGCTTTTTATGTGGTTCAGTGAATCTTCCGCGCAATGTTTCCTTCTTGAATAATGAAGAAGAAGAAAAAATAACGAAGGAAGTGATCACATAAAAACGCGCAGGTTCCATGAACCCATTTTTCTCTAGTGTTTGACAATTTATTTATCTTTAAATCTTGGTGCATGCAGTACAGTGAGACCCTCATATGTGTATGTAATGGTGCATCAAGAGTGTCCCCAAGCTGAATTGTCCCAAATTTGAGTCTTGTTTTCCCATAGACTTACATTATATAATTTTTAATTGGTCTTTTATGGAAAAAATATCCTTCAGAATTCCATGAAAAAAATTGTTTGCCACTTGAATTTGATTCAGTGAATGTATTTTCAAATCAATAATGACATTTGGAGCATTGAATTTTGTATCTCCGTACTTTACATTGAAATGTTGGCATCTACAAAAATAACATTCAAGTCACAAAGAAAGAATGAAGTCCTTCTATGCAATAGGTAATTTTTTCAATTAGCTGAATGGATGGGAGAAATGACAAAATAATTTTTCTTGCATAAATCTTAGGGTTGGAAATATCTGTTTCTTGCAATCAAGCTGAATAAAAGTAAATTTTTGTGAAATTTATTGGCAATTTTATCATTCAATGTCCTCATGTTGAGTCAGTTTCTGTGTGTTGGGCCTTTTTTATGCCCTTTTTATTGAAAAATAAATGTCCCCATGTCAAATTGTCCTCATGTCAAGGTGTCTGCATGTGGGGGTCTCACTTTGGCCAACTCCATTTTTTCTTTAGCCATTTTTGTCTATTTTGAGTGCCTAATTTTGTAGTCTAAGAGTTGATTTGTCTTGCGAGTGATGTCCGTAGTGTGCTGGAGAAATTCTGGACAACATGTCCTGTTTTATGTGTACCCCCCCTCCTGCGCCCCCCATTTTTCTGGGTATTAATGATCAAACTCATTCTCCCTTCGACTCTGCCGAAGAAAGCTGCCTTCCTGAACTCCGCTGGGTCAGTTTCTCTCTGGAATTTCTTCCTGTCGGCCACCATCTTGTCTAGCGTGTTGTCTCGGAGATATTCTCCTTTGCTTTTTTTTTCGGGACACGCATTCTTTTTCTCTTTGTGTGTATGTGTTTGTGGGACACATGGATGGAAGTGAAGATACTGGAGTGGTGTCCAACGAAGAGGACCCGGGTTCCAGGAGCAGTGACGGGATTTCCGAACCTGGCCTACGACTGGACCGAGAAGGAGGCCCGTACACCAGCAGCAGTGGCGAAGATGATGATGACGATGGGGACGAAGAAGAAGATTATGAGGAAGAAGAAGAGGATGGTGGAGAGGAAGAAACGGCTGACAACACGGAGGACTCTCTTTTTGAAAAGTAATGATGCCAGTTTTTTTTTCCTGTCAATTTTGTTCTTGATGGGCGTCACGTGTTTTATTTTTTTTGATGCTCTGTTTTTGAGGTGTTTGGCAGTTTAATGGAGATTTGTGGTTTATCAAAAAAGCTGAAGTAATATGAAAATCAAGTGCAGTTGAACCTCTTCAAGTCGAATTTCTAGGGACCAGGAAACAAATTTGACTTAGGGAGGTTGCAATTTTGGAGCTCTTGAGTTAGGGAAAACGAACATTTTTGCTGCAAGGAAGAGTGAAAAAAAAATTGTGGGATATTTTAAATGAGGTTATTCTGGGCTTAAACTTGCTTCTTAATGATTTTTACAGCTTGGAGAACTTGTGGGCGGTTGTTCATTTGTTTAATTAGTCTTTCACTTAATTTCAAGAAGCATAAAATCATTTGTTTTATTGATTTTCTCTTTCATATTTCAAGGAAATAATAACCAAAAGGCCTTGGAAAATTTGACTGACAGAGGTTTGAGAGAAAAAGACTGAGTTTGGGGTTTTTTGAATGCATTATTTCTAAGGGAATCCTGACAGGGACTTGAAACAAATTTGAGTTAGGGAGGCATTTGACTTGAGGGGGTCTGACTTATCAAGGTTCAACTGTATGATAGGAAATTAAATTCCTTACTCTTTTAGAAAACAATCAAGATAACCCTGGGATGCATAAATTGTATCTTGCAAATGTTCATAAGTAAACAATGTCATATTTGTGTTCATGTTTTTTTCAATTGGAGACCTTTCACAGGAACTTGGTTCATGTTGATGGGAGTTTCAAAGACAAAATTAATTTTGAGGAGCATATTTGAGTTCACAACATTTTTTTATGAAATTGTATCCCCATGCAAGATGCACACCCCATTTGTTTGTGAATGAAACTGCAATTTTTTTAAACATGTTGAGCTCTACAATTTTGAATATAGAGACAAAGTCATCCTGAATTCAACAAATTTTGAATATTTTTTCTTGCAAAAATTTTTCTGTGAAAATTTGTCTAAACATTTTCAATAAGAATAAAATATAATACACATCTAAACTTATATGAATGAATGAACAGAAAGCTTTATTTTCTACTTTTTAGCATTCACTAAGTTCAATCAACATTCCCACATCCAAACCTAAACCTTCAAAACAAAATTTTTCTTTTCAAGTATGAATGATGTGCACTCATTTTTCCCTCTCAATTTATGAGAAAAAAGTAGGCATGGTGCTCGAATGAATATGGTACTTTTACTGTATACCTTTTAAGAATGTTATTTTTATAATTTTTTTAGTGGTGAAACTCAAGATAATGTTTTGGTGGACACGGAAAACAACTCCTCAGCAGACGTGCCCAGGATGACCTCGTCCCTGGCCCTGGGGTCACTGCTCAAGTACGACACCCCCGTGGCAGTGTCCAAGGCGACTTGCACTGGAGACGAAGTCATGCTGAGTGTGCCACCATCGTCAGTGGCGACATCTAACGGAGATATGACCATCACTGAGGGCTCAGCTGTGGAGCAACTCCTGTCGTCCATCACGGGTTCGTCTGGGTCTCAACAGGGCAAGCAGCACAAGGGCATGCAGCAAGTTATCGACATGATCCTGCCGCCGATCGTGTGGGAGCAGAACGGGCAGCTGTGGATGCAGCAGGTTCTGGATGATGCTGATGATAATAATCATCGTCTTAATTTAATTCAATTGATCAATGATCAATGATTTATTGAGTAGGCTTACTTGCGTGTACGAAAGGGGTCTAAGGACAGTTCTCAGTGTACAGTACTCTTCTGATCCAGCTTGACACTAACTTATATTGAGGCAACATCTGTCCCCAATGCTTGGCATGTAAATTGAAGCAGCATGTGATTGAACTGAAAACCAATTATTCTTCAGAAGAAAAAAAATTCTTTTGTGCAAAGAAAATGAATTAGCCATTTTCTGGCATATTCTTCAAATTTTTTTTTGCAGAAGTCACCCTGTGGCAGTTTTCTGCTCTTCACTCAAAAGATTAGGCACCCATCTTGCAAATTTCTGTTTTGGTGTAGCCCAGCTTTTCCTTCATAATTCTTGACAATGACATGTTATTAAATTCAAAGGGTTGCCTCCGGGTCTTCTGAGGTAAATCAAATAATGACAGCACACTTGGAATTGATGCCATGTCAAATTCAAGAATTCTGAAGGAGAACTTGGGCTCTATAGAAAAAAGTGCAAGATGTTTTTTTTTCTTGTATAAAAATGCTGAAATTATTGCAGGAAGTTAACATTGTTCATCTTTTGACTCAAACTGTTGGGTAAATGAGATTACAGGGTATTGAAATTGTAAGCAAAGGTAAAATTGCTCAATTACAGTTTATCACTTGATTTTAAAAAAGAACCTGGTTAGATTTTTATAGCTCTTCCATTCATTTTTTTTTCCAAAAGGATTGTAGAATTGCATTTTAAAAATGAGGTTTGAGAGAGAAAACTTTGAGTCAGGGAGGTCTTGATATCACAGTTCTTGAGGGGATTCAAAAAATGTTGCATGGAAAGGTTTTTGACTTGAGAAGCATGAAGTTATTTGTTGAACTGTATTTAAAAGATATGAACATGTGCATCTTTAAAGAAAGAATCACTTAAAGAAGATTTTCAACAATCTTGAATGATGGAAAGGATGTTCATTGTCATGTCTTGTTGGGGTACATAGGTGTCCAGTAAACCTGCTACAAGGCTGGATGTGTTGAACCTGCAAAGACTGCTGGATATGAGGCTGGAGCACAGGCAGGCAAAGGAAACTGGCATTTGTCCCATCAGGAGGGAGCTGTATACTCAAGCTTTTGGTGACAGTTTCAGTCTTCTTGGTGCTGCTAAAAAATTAAATTTTAACATGAGTTCCTGCTTCACAAAATACTACTAGTACAACAAACATTTTGCATTGTATTGAATTCTTTTGAAGGAAGTGCCTCACAAAAAAGTTCTTGCTTGAAAAAAGCCTGCATTTACATAGTTTGGAGGTAAAACTTTGAAACTTCTTGAAAAGTTGAGAAAAGAATGGCATAGTTTTTTTTCTGCTTTAGAAAGTTTACCAAGGCAAGTGCAAAAAGGGATCAGGATTACTTCAAATTTGGTACTTACAATTTTAAGTTCATGATTTTTTGCTGAAATATTGTTGAATAAGCAGTTTCAGGGATTTTCATGGCCTTTTTGTGAGTACCTGTGATATTTTCAAATTTTAATGTTAGAGAAACTGTGTTGCACTTCACTATTTTGAAATACAATATGCCTCAATAGGAATGGATTATAATTTTTTCATACAAATCTCATTACAGTTGGTCATTTTTTAAATTTTCTGCAATACAAATATGTTAAATTTTTGAGTCACAGTGTGAAAAACTTATCTTTGTTGGTTATTTTCCTGAAATATCCAGCCAGAGAGTCCAAGAAAATTTTTCTGCAAAAACTTAATTCTGGAAATCCTTCTGGTCCTGTACTGTGCATGTTTTGAATGTAAATGTCTCATCATGCTTTGAATTATTGTTTCTGTATTTTGTGTTGATGCCAAATTTCCAGATGAGCTCATCAGGCAAGCAACTGTGAACTGTGCTGAAAGAGGCCTGCTTCTACTGAGGGCCAGGGATGAGCTGAAAATGACTCTTGCTGCTTATCAGACCCTGTTTGAAAGCAGTTGTGCTTTTGGCATCAGGAAGACACTCCAGGTGCCCAAAGTTGTTCTTTCCTGATCCAAAAACTTGTTTCTATTTTGAAGCAAAGTAATTTTAAAAAACACTGAAATGATTTTTTTTTTCAAGGCCAGAGAAGGGAGAGAAGAGCTGGAAAGACGGGTTGAGTCTCTTGAAGATGAGAAGCTCAAGTTGCTGGAGGAATGTGATAGACTCAGAGGACAGCTGGAGAATGCACAGAGACTCCATGAAGAGCAAAGAGCAGTGGAGGCTGACAGTCACAAGAAGAAAATTGAGTTTTATCAACACAAAGTTCAACAAATCAAGGTTATACCAGCATTTCCAAAGCACTTTTTGGAACATTGCAGTTCAACACATTGACTGTGGATTTCCCTTTTCAGAACCAACTGGAGGCCATTTTGGCTGCAAAGAAGTGATGCAACAACTTGAGTTGGGAGCAATTCAAATTACCATATAATTTGTCCACCATCTTTGGTGGAGAAATATTCTTTCCAATTTTACCACCATTTTTCAACCCCTGCTCATGTCACAAAGTCAGTCTTTCTTGAATTAAAGCACATTGGTTACCAATTAGTACTGTACAGTATTAGAATGTATTTCATGTTAGTTTGATTTTGTAATTCATCTCATGTTAACAACACATTTTAGCTTAGCTCTAAACTCTATGTCAGTTACTTATTAGTCCTGTTATCCAAAAACTATTTTACGAAAGTTGTTGATCAACGATGATCAGTCGTTGATGACTCTTTCTAATAATTAAAGGAAAAGGGGATCGGAGATTTAAATCGTTTTCCGCGACTTTCGAAGGAAACGCAAAAGTTACTCCGTGAGAGTATTCAAAATGTTTATTTATTTATCTTCACACACAGTCGATACAATAATATTCTAGCGAGAGCGAAGCGACGCAGATTCGGCGTTCGGACAGTGTCTGGTGCGGTAAACTTAACTCAACATAAAATGCACCTGTATATATAGCTTCGGCCGGCCGAGGTCGAGGAACGCGCATAGAAACCGATTCGGATCGGGGACATCATGCTTCGTTTGTTCCAAAGGAAGGAAGCGTGAGCGCGGTCGGGAAAGTATTCCGTCAACAACGGGATTGTGAAATATAATTGCTAGCGCACCAGGCGCAGCCAAGCGTAGCGGAAATACATTAGCTTAAAAGGGTCGTGCGTAAAGTGAAGGGTGTTGTGGTCGTTAATATGACTACAAATCTCCCCTGGTAAACGAGAAAAAGCTCCTGCGTACACAAGTGTCAAAAGTGTTTCAGTCAGCGGGAAAAAGGATCGAAATTTTCGTTCGATTCCCACACCTCCCCTGATCACGTCTCAGGCATGCTGAAAGACGTTACACAGGAAAACATTCTCATGGGGGGCAATAAGAATGGTAATAACAACCATATCTGCCTCCCCTCAACTCCTTCAAGTTCACCAGGAAGCTGCAGAGGTCTGGCATGCCAATGCCTGATTCCTCAGTTCACCTTACACCCCTGTTCAGGTATGTGCTCCTGACCCCCTTAAGCTCTTAATTAAAAACTGTAAAGTTTAAAATTTGCTTATTCCGCGTGTTTTTTCGCTTGATCTTACTCTTAAGTGTTCTTAAAACACATTCCCATTGTTTTCGGACGGGTTTCGGTCGGAAATAGGGGTCAATTTCGCGTTTTTTCGTTCGCGGATTTTGTTCGCGAGATACTCGTAACGATCGATTTTTGCGCGAAACGCGGTCCGAAATGAAAAAACTAAACGGTTTGTTCGGTTCCAGGTTGTGTTAGGAAGATCTCCTGCGATTTTCGGCAAGTTTCACCGTTCGGTTCGCGAGTTTCAAACGAAAAGGTAATTCCCCATAGGCTCTTTAACAAAATCGGATCTGATCTGATCCAAGTGCATCTTTTGAAATGTTCACAGTTTTATCAAGAATGGCAAGTTTTGCGGTGTCCGTGTTGTTGGTGCTGCTGGTGGTGCATCCTGATGCGTCATCCGGCAGGTGTCACGTCCAAGATGGCCGCCTTCATTGCTCCGAGGCGTGCGACGCGGACGCGGTTCGCGCTTCCGAGTTCGACGGGAGGATCGTCCTGACAGGTCACGTTCTGGACTTCGGGTGTCTGGACTTCTTCGGGATCAAGGTTAGTTGCAGGAAAACTGGTTTGAGGGTGTGAGTTTTCAGACTTCATGAATTTTCCAGAAGGTAGAATTGCTGAGTCCCACTAGATGTGAGGGCAATTTTCGTCCGTCGCTGGTGGATCCGGTGGATTTTTGTGTGACCGGACGGGTTACGGTGGACCTTCAAACTTCTTCACCATACTTGACGTCCGTCCCGAGCTCTTCTACGAGAATTCCGGTGGCTCCGGAGAGACCGGTGATCCTGACGACGGCTATTTCTCCTACTTCTTCGTCGATGGAGGCGACATCTGCCATCACTCGTGGTGGTGTCATGAACACACAAGATTCTAGCACGGATTCATCCGTGAGTGTTCGATTGCTGACGACGCCTATTGTCCCTGAAACGACAAAACAAACTACGCCGGCTCCTAGTAAGGACTTTTCGTTAGAGGTTTTCCAACTGGTATTAAACAAACTGCTCTATTTTTTTAGCGACAAGCAAGCCTTCTATCATCGTTTCGGTGCTGAAAAATCTTCCGGAAACCCGAATTCACTCTGGAGAACATGCCAACGTCACTTTAACGGTAGTGGAGGGAAAAGCGGTCTTGGGCGCGGAATTCGCTACCGAACTCTTTTCTAATTGGGCGATTGGGCTAATTAGTGGTCTTGGCGTGACGGTGTTTGGCTTGGCCGCTGGTTGGATGGCCTGGTGTTTGAGAAAAAAGGTGATTTGTTGTTTTCTTACCCATCTCTGTTACCTTTTAAACACCTCGTTGCATGATATTGCCATTTTAACCAACCTTTAACTTACTAACAGTATTGCCCAAATCTTTGTCAACGTAAAGTTTCAACCAAATCTAAACAAGGCATTGAAGAAATCGAAATGAAAGATTTGTCTCTTGGACCTGTAGTAGTGCGTGAGACTACTGTTAACGAGATTCATGATGGAT